CAACTCACTTAAAAACTCGAGTTTCTTGAAATTATTAACTGTGACGGTAAAAATAATTTACTGGTCAGACCCCAATAGCGTGGCTCCCAATTGCACGGTCGGTCCTAAAAGCGCGGGGTCCCTAACATTTGCTACTTTTACTGTGTGACAAATCCGGTACTGCCGTGCCAGTCACATATTTAACCCCATCTCGTAATGTATATATTTCACGTATTTCCAACGAAATACGATTCAGCTCATGTCTGTCCCGTACAAACATCGTCCGTTGGAATAATTTGATTCAGATATCAACGCTGGTGTATTTACATCTTTCCTAGTAAATAAATTATACCTTAAAGCAGTTTTTATTCATAAATATAACAGAATTTTCATTATATACTCAATGCTTTATTGTTAAGATTCAAAATAATCACCACCTTTTCTATATATGTGCGTTTTTTGATTATAGTTCCCGTTTCCAGGGTTGCACTTATATTGGTGGCGTTCATAAAGTTCACTGTTTAGTATTCTGCTGACGTTACCACAGCTATATATGACGATAAGATTTTATTATTATTTACCGTCCACATATATGCAGCAACAGTATCCACATATGAGCCGTGATCGTGTGTAAAATACTCAAACAGAAAACGAAGTTAATAATATGTTTATACATATAAACGATTTACCTTTATACAACCAACAAATAAAATTCTGTATAGGTTAAAAAATAACTGATATCTTAGGACAGAAGACCCGGTTTTGATCACTGGCCCCCTTTTGGCCATTTGGGACTTGAAGGCGTTCTAATTAACGCATAATGAGGAAGTATTAAAAAAAGAAAGCACTAAAAAGTACCTCCACTAAATGGCGACTCTAGCAAAAATTTACTTTTGCAGGAAACGAATGGACCAAAGACAGTCGTTTCCGTACCTTTTAATTAAAATATTAAAAAACTGAAATTTGAAAAGTTCGAAACTTAGATACGAAAAAGTACAAACAGAATATGAGTTGTTTATTGAGTTTTGAAAACTAATTAACTTTTAAACATGAAAGAAAACCGGATGGGTTTTCATGGAGAAATCCAGTAGCGACATCTAGTTTGATATCGGGACTATTTTTTTTTAAATACTTCTTCATTATTTTACCGTGTACGGTTTCCAAAATGTTGAATTACGGCAAAACTCATAACGTCAATAGCTTTAATGTATCAAAGTTCACTTTCTCGTAACTTATAAAACCGGGTTTTTGGTCCTAATACTTTCATAATCAAATCATTTACATAAATCGATTTCTAAGTCTAAAGTTCGAGGGATTATGTTGCATTTATTACTTCAGATTCGCAATACAAATCAGCCGTTCAGCTCCAAATCCGGGTAACTTTATCCCGGATCAAATACCGGGATTCTAGAGTAACGGTCCTGAGGCAAGAGGCTTGTTTACATTCAGAAACAGTACGCATCATGAAATTGTCTGTAATAAATTCGTTAAAGAGTATATGAAATTTATCTTTTGTAAGTCATTTATATAATCCATGCCTTGGTTGGCGTAATTACAGATTTAGAAGAAATTTGTAAACGTTACGTTAACGTATAATTTAATCAGATACTGAAAAGAATGCAGAATAGTTTTACAATTACTATGAGGGAAAAAGGGGTGTAGAATGGAGAATGAGTCGTTTACTTACCTTTAGTTTCTATACATGCGAATTAAAGTCCTGAAAGTTGATTTTATTTCTTTAAAAACGAATTTTCGTCTATTTTTCAAATACTTATACGAGTCTAAAGCAAAGCGTTTTTCCATAATTTATGATGTAACGAAGGTAAGACCGACATTGCTTTATTTTCAGAATTTTCCTTTGTGGGCAAATAGAACGAGCTCTACAAGTTATAGACATTATTAAAAGAAGTATTTAATTGAAATATCTGTTATATAAACGTCAGTTAGCAAAAACATTGAGCCCCAAGCCTAATCGTATAAAAGTGAAACAGTGGTAGAGTGGAGTGGTTTTATTAGAAGTTTTCGAAGAATGTCTTGATAAGACTAAGCAAAGTGACCTCGGTAGAATGAAACAGTGTTTTCTAGGACGCAGATAAATCTAGAGCATTTGTCCCTTACTACACGATTGCTAAAACTTATGTTAGATTTAAAGTTAATAGTGTTGAGTAATACACAATTCAATGGCGTAGTGGTTTGCGATAAGGTTGTTAAGCAACTTTCGCAAGGGCTGGTCATAAGATGGGTGAACAAAAAATGATTATCTCGAAAAGGCACGTTAGACCGTTGGTCCGAAAGAATTGTTAAAATCTCACTTCTACATGTATAAGAATCGAGTTGAATCTTGTATGTAAAAGTAAGTAAGTCAATAAGCTACATTGATTTTTTCCAATGAATGTAATGTTCCATGATAATTATCGTTATATTTGATCTACTTTGTATTAACTGTACTATACTGGAAAATATTCTAAATGAAAAACGCCAGTAAATCCACTTTGTCCCTGGTACTCTGAGATGGGTACTATTACTTTTATACTTTTTATATTTATAATATTGCTTAAATGAATTATAAAAAAGATATTATTTTATACCCGTTGTTGTGTAACCGCAAACGGCGCGTGACGTCACCCTCCTCTTATCAGAACTTAGACAATTGAATCTTATGCATACATAGAACGATATTAGTTTCAGAGGGCCGTGACGTCATAGTGACGCCATAGCAGAAGTTGGTGTTTTTTGAAAACTAAACTTATTTTTAGATTTTAAAATTATTAAACGAATTATATATTTTAAAAATTTTGTTTTTAGATGTATACCTATCAATAAAATAAAAATATTTAAAAAATGACTTTTTTTAACAACTCCAGAGAAACGTATCTCTCTATAATATATGATGCAATGGACGTGGCCCTAACACTGCATCAGTAGCTCCGATAATCTTCAAGGACATGATTTTTACAAAATTATAATGAAGATAAGAAATTTTTTGAAGGTTTTCAAACGTCTGGTCTTCCACACTGGATGCCGAGAGGTGTAATTTCTGTCTACTTCCATATACTGAAGTATCAATCGTTAAAAAACTCTTGTACGTATATTTTTGTCACAAATACCTGACTCGCGCACGAAGGTTTCCGTAGCATCATCAATAAAAAACGCAAAATGTCACCTTGTTGTATGTGAGCCCCTTAAATATTTGTTTAATTATATTTTTTAGTATTTGTTATTTTGGCGGTAACTGAAAACATCATTTGTAAAAATTTCAACAATCTAACTATCACGGTTCATGAGACACAGCTTGAGAACGGACGGACGGATGGACAGACAGACCGATGGACAGCGGAGTCGTAGTAAAAGGATCCCCTTTTACCCTTTGGGTACGGAACTCTAAAAATGGATAGAACCATAAGACCGCTAATCCCTGATAAGTGGGAGATATAATATATGTATTGTATATAAAAAAAAATAGTAATCATAAGTGGTAAGTTTACTCCTCAGATAAATAAGAAGAGAATAAAAGTTACAACAGGCATAATGTAAAGTTAATATTATTATCTTAGCATTAGCTAAGATAATAATATTGCAATTTCACAAAATCGATAAAACCCATGGTAAAGGAAATACATTTTACGACTATACAGCCTTCATATTCTACTGGAAGTAATATCGTGAACTATAAAGATATATCGACTTTCTAATAAAATTGGTATCCATTTCTTAACATTTTATACCATGAGATGGATATTGATAAAGCTGTTTTCAACTAAATATTTGTTTTTTCTATGTGCAGTAAAGTATGTAATGTAATTAAGGGTATTGTATTAATTTTACTAAGTCTTTAGGCACGCGGTAACAGGAAATTGGGAAAAAAAGAATGTAAAACAAGGAAAAGTTAATTTATTTCTAGTTATCATTTAAGGATTAATTAATAATATACACACGGCTGTACATCAGGCTACCACAAGATATCAAATTTATGGAATGGATTTTGATATCTACCGTCAATTTATTAAGGTTTAAAATAGAGTGAAGAAATTTGACAGCTTTGCATAACCTGATGTGTAGTCAACTATACATGTTTGATATATAAAACGCGTCTATCTAAATACATTATAATATTATATTTGCTAAAAACGAAAACTTGAAAAGGACCTATCCGAAGCAAAGAGTTATATTATACCTATAGCTGTTTTCCCGCGATTTTGCCCGTATAAATTATATCCTATATCACCCATGTCCAGTAGTTTCATAATTGCCCATGGAATGCAAACAAACAGTCAAAGTCTTTCCTCTTTATAATGTAAAGTAAATGGATGTAATGGAGTAAATGGATAGGATTAAATCCTATCAAAAATACGATATGTACAAAAAATGCACAAGTCTCATAACGCAATTTTTCTGCCGTAAATAGTTATAAAATCAACGTAAACCAAGTCGATTAATTCAGCTCTCACGAGCAGCTATCCAACCTTGTTATAGATTAAATAATAATTTTTACTTTTTTGCTCAACTTGGCCGAGACACTACCATGCCCCCAGTTTTTCAAATCATAAAATTAACAGTAAGTAATAAATAATGTGTAGGTGATTGCAATGTCAAATCGATCTCTTAAAAAGTAGGAAATATATGGAATACGCAGATGTAACAAATTCTATGGATAGGTTCTTTCACTTTCGAAATTAGTTAGTCTTAGATACGAGTAAGATAAGATCTAGAGTGCTGTCTTAGGAACATGATGCTAATAAACTTAACTAAATATATAGGATACATTTTAGTATTTAATAAATTAAATAAACGATTAATCAAGAGTAATTAAATATGCACGTAGTTTAATTTGAGTTATAATATTGTAACATTTGTAGCCAATTTTTCCTTTTATCACAGCATTTTGGGTCGAAATCCGGATAATCTGGAAATCAGGAATCCATATAACTAAGGTAAGGATAATGATGTTTCCACTCAAATAAAGAATAAATGAAAGATCCGTATATCTTCACTGAAATAAAGAATAAATGAAACATCTATATCTAAGCTTTTTCAGAGATCTTTTCTAAGATCCAATCTCTGAAGGAATGCACTCTTGAGTAGACGTCAGGATAGCCGCGTGCGCACGGCATACCCCATGATACGATGCCCACGATACGGCCGTTTTCCACCAATGGTCCTCCAGAGTCCCCCTGAAAAGAAACAGAGATAGTTTCATCTCATACTCGTCGTAAATTTTCGTATATAAATTATTACAAGTGTTCAATGTAGAACGAATATAAAAAATCCTTTGCCTAAAAAAATAATGATGTAGTTTTGTCGGTCTTGAATTTGAGACGCGTGAGGGCTATAGCCACAAATATTAACTTCTTTTTTTATGTAACTGTCCAGCCTAACTTTCTGTTGCCTGGATAATATTGCTCTTTAACGATAAGACAGCTGATTGTACTTTAGCGAGAAAACGTTTAAGTTAATTGTTGTGTCAATGGTTTCATAAATTATTTTATGTCTTTTTCATATGTAAATGTTCTTTCTTTGAATGGAATTGTGTGTGCAATTGAAATAAGTATTTATTCATATAGGTCTCGTAAAGTCTTGTGGACTCTAAAAGTTATGACCTATCCTTTAAAAGCTGCTAGAAAAATTTGCGTAAAAGCATGATCTCTTGGTCCTATACATCTCTTGGTTAGATTTCCTATATGTTATATTTAAATGCATATATATGAAAATAGATTAAAACTCTATTATTGCTTATTGTATACTAGTAAATGATCTTTATAAATAGGTAGGTATAGGGTAACACCAAAGAGTTTTCCGGGCCACTTACGCTCTATGTGCCGTTGATTAAATAAAGTTGGTGTTACTTATCAACGGACCTTCATGAAAGTTGGAAAGTGCGCAATCGTTTAGTAAATCTATGACGGCAGATAATTTCAAAATTTAAGTGTACTGCAATCAGCAGTTTACTTATCAGTGCCTTTCCATTACATGCGCTTTGTAGCTCAACTGCGAGGATGTGAATACAGTATTAGTAAAGAGATATATTTTTTATTCGTCGGGGAAATGCTTGTAGCACGATCTCTGCCATCTTAAGATGACATGTCGAAAACTTTACACCAACAAAAATAAGAACTAGAACGGAATATTTCTTATATAGAACCCTGAACCGTAAAATTGCTAAGACCCTGCAGACAGATAGGTACACTTGACAAATGTGACAAATACAAGGTACCGCAGACAGGTAGGTACACTTGACAAATGTGACAAATACAAGGTACCGCAAAAGGATAATGAATGTTATCAAAACTTGTATATGTAGAAGATTTTGTAAAGTTACGCACATGACAAGCACCTTCTCCAGACTTGGTGAGCGAACATATTTGAGAGCTGAAAACATTGTTAATGCCCCAGTATTTGAGACGGCACTTCTCCACGCTCAGAGCCGTCAGGTTGATCATCTGTAGTTTATTTGCTAGTACTCCTGGATACTGTGAAAATAAACTTTTATATAAAATTAATTAAATATTATTAGAGTAAGCCTAACTCGCCACGGTGCTCCTATTTTATATATTTACATATAGTTACTTAGAATTTTTTGCATCATTCATTTCATTCGTCTTTACGTTCATTCAGAAATTTATTTTAAAATATCTTAATTTATTTTTCTTTAAAAATAACTCAGGAAGATCTCTCTTAAACATGTAAATACATGTTTAGAAATAAAAATAAAAGTCGTTAGTAGAAATCTACTATTGACTTTTATGATGTAAGAAATTATCATAAAATTAACTTTATTTTTTTTTTAATAAATTTTAATTATATAAAAAAAGGAGAGATTGATATTAGTTCTAAAAAGAGGTGTGCATGGGGATATACATGTTGTTCTGAAAAAGCTAGTTGATGTTGTCTATGCTTGTACTAACATTATCTTATAGAAAATATTTTTAAAATTCAATCTTCCCAGGTGTTCGAACCAGAAAGGGAGAATATACGCTCACAAACAGCAAAAGTAACAAGCGTATAAGAAATTGGATCATATCGTTAAGTTCTCGGGTAGCTCAATGGCAACAAATCTAATAAAAAGCGAAGTCGAATGCAGTACTTACATAGGTTGGTGGATATATTTTTCATCAAAAATACCTTATATACTTATGACTTTCTTTCAAATTGAATCAATATTATTCTGTCCAAAAATGTCATCATGACATTTTTAAAGAGCACCCGAAGTCTCGGAAATACAAGCTATTGAATTTTCAAGAATATTTCTATGAAATAATATCAATATAGCATTGGCAATGCAAAGTTTGTTTAATATAAGAGTCCAATTTTAACAAAATGAGAAGTTGGGTAACACAGTTGCTGGCGCATTTGGTCTGCGATAGAATTATTATGCATATTTCGCAAGGGGCGGTCATAGGATGGGTGAGAAAACAACTATTATTTCGACCTCCTCCGTGCCTTTGGTTCCGGCTGTGTCTGCAGTTGTCTAATCCGGACTGGGTCCGCGTAGTGTCTGGCCCATTCTCCCTAGTTCCATCGGGAAGGCCTGTGATGTCTATGATTATGATTTTCTATAAAACATTCTAAAATCATACTCACAGACAATCTTCCCCAACCAGTGAGCATTAAATCAGCACCAGCTTCCGTATTTATATCAGGCAATTGTATTGGTTGTATACGGCCATTAAACACGATATCTTTGGAGACTTTCACGACACTGACGTCGTTGGTGATGAGTCTTGCGTCGTATTTACTATGGACTATAATCTTGGATACTGAGTAGGGATCACCGCCTTTAATGAGGCTATTAGTTCCCACTATCACACGCATAGAGTAAGTAGATTGGCTGAAACGAATACAGAATTATATGAAACACTCAGTACTAGCATCCAACAACAAATAAATCTTAATTTATATTAGTAGATTTATAATGAATCTCACAATCAAAACGTTTAATAATATTTGTTTAAGCAAAGAGAAGCAGAAACAATGAATAAAATTGTTAACAAGAGAAGTCTTGGACTACATACTTCACGATGGACAGTACTTAATTCGCAATTAACGAAATTTCCGGCATGGATACTTTGATTTATGTGTTGAAAGCATTTTAATTTAAAAAAATATACATGTTATGCGGAATTTCCTCAAAAATATATATCGCTAGACTTTTCCTGTGAACGGTTACTTCTGCCAGATGCTTTAATGTCACAAAAAAATATTAAACTTTTTTGAAAAGGAAGTTTTAAACTTTATAATATTTAACTAAAAGTTTAATAAAAGCAAATAAAAGTTTATTATCTACATTGACAGCGGCCTACTGCCAAACGAACCTGGGACCGAAAGTTGCAGACACTTTGTAACAATTTGAGGCAACTCTGCCGCAGAGGTTATTCGGGTTATCTTTGTTATTATAATAATATTAGTTTTATGCTAGCGGGTATGCCCGCATGGTTCCTAAAGAACTATTTAGTGGGATAAATAGTAGTTATATATTTACCAGGGTTAGAATTATCCACATACCAAATTTCATCAAAATCCGTTCAGAAACGAGATGAAATACAATCGCGCTAGAAATAGGTGTAACACTGTGATAAGGGACGCCCAGAGACGCCATATTCACAAATCTGTTGAAAACGATGACCCGGGAAAAGTTTGGAAGTTTCTGCGGTCACTTGGGGTTGGTAAAACACGTAGCTGTAATTCTCCTAAACTTGATATCAATCAACTTAATAGTCACTTCACCACCTCGTCTCCTATTGATGGAAACTGTAAGGCAGAAACTCTGCATCATCTTTCGAATTTACCAACTCTTAACTCCCCCTTTTTCATGCATCAATTTGCGGACTGTGGTGTTAAGAGAGCTATTTTATCTATTACTTCCAGTGCAGTGGGTAGTGATTCTATCAGTCGCAATATGATCCTACCCATTATTGATATCCTGTGCCCCATAATTACCAAAATCCTAAATACTTCAGTTTTGACTGGAGTTTTTCCCACATCCTGGAAAGATGCAAACGTCATTCCACTTCCGAAAAAATCAAACCCTACCGAATTCTCCGAATATCGTCCTATTTCTATTCTTCCTTTTCTTTCCAAAGTTCTTGAGAAACTTGTCTCTCAGCAGCTTACTGCTTTCCTTACTTCCAACCAAATCCTCAATCCTTTTCAGTCTGGTTTCCGTTCGGGCCATAGCACTACTACTGCGCTGATTAAGATTACCGATGATATTAGATGGGGTATGGAGAACAAACAGCTCACGCTGTTAACGTTACTTGATTTTAGTAACGCCTTCAACTCCGTTGATTTTGACATTTTTCTCGGTGTCATGGCTTCTCTTAATATATCTCCGGCTGCAATTGATTGGTTTCGAAGTTACCTGCTAGGGCGCCGGCAACGTATTCGTGTTGACGATACAGTGTCTGCGTGGTGTGATATTGATGCCGGTGTTCCTCAGGGTGGCGTCTTATCTCCTCTGCTTTTTTCTATTTTTATAAATTCCATCACACAGTCTCTTTCATGTTCCTATCACCTTTACGCTGATGACCTCCAGATCTATACTCAGGCACCGTTAACTAGCCTCTCGAGGGCTGTTTTGGTTACTAATTCTAATCTGTCACTTATCAGTGCCTGGAGTAAATCATACGGTCTAATAGTTAATCCATCTAAAACTCAAACTATAGTAATAGGCAGTCGTCATTTCGTTTCCCGGATCGACTTTAGTGAGCTGCCTTCTATCATTTTCGACGGTACTGTTATCCCTTATTCCGAAACAGTCAGAAACCTTGGAGTTATTTTTGACCAACAGTTTTCTTGGAAGCCTCAGGTGGAATCAGTCAGAAAGAGGGTGTTTGCTGCGTATGGTTCACTGAGTCGTCTGCGTAATTTTTTGCCGATCAGTACCAAAATCACTTTGGCACATTCCCTAATGTTGTCTATTATCGACTACGCTGATGTGTGCTATACAGATCTCTCAGAAGAACTTCTCACCAAACTAGAGCGTCTGCAGAATGTATGCATTAGATTTATTTTCAATCTTCGAAAATATGACCATGTGTCGTATTACCGTTCAAAGTTAAATTGGCTTCCTATTCGCCGACGCAGGGACTTGCATACTCTCACGGTTCTTTACTCTATACTTTTCCTCCCATCATCTCCACCATATCTTAAACAATCATTCTCTTTTCGCTCCTCTTCATCACAATGTACATTACGTTCCTCTTCAAACCTCACTCTCGAAATCCCTCGTCACTATACAGATTTCTATTCTTATTCTTTTGCTGTGCATGCTGTGCGTCTGTGGAATTCTCTTCCAGAGGGTATCAGGAGGGCTCGATCATTGGGATCCTTTAGCGATGAAGTTAGAAATTATTTCCTTTCCACATCTTAAAACTATTTTCATATTATTCTTTCACTATTAAACTGTTTAATTCATTTCATATGTATACATTTATTTTTTTGTTTATTATAATATATTAACGCTATTTATTTATTTATCCTTCTCTATATTGCACCCACTCCCCATAGTATCTTTATTTTTTATCCATTTTCACCTTAGGTTGCCTGGAAGAAATTGCTGTTTAGCAATAAGGCCGCCATTTGTTTACTCAATCTCTTAGATATTAAGCTTTTTTGTAAACTATGTATCATATTGAGTGCAATAAAGTTGGATATCAAACCGTGGACCAATTCCAGTATCTGGGTTCCGTAAATACAAAAAAGGGCAACTGTGAGCCGGAGGTGCGAAGACGAATCTGTATAGGAAAGACAGCAATGACACAATTGGACAAAGTGTGGAGAGATAGGAACATCAGCAATAAAACAAAAATACACCTAGTTCGCACACTCGTCTTCTCCATATTTCTGTATGGTGCCGAGACCTGGACTATTAAGGCGGCTGATAGACGGAGAATCGACGCGTTTGAGATGTGGTGTTGGCGTCGTATGCTGAGAATACCATGGACAGCTCACCGCACAAATGTCTCTGTCTTACATCAGCTTAAACTAGAGGAAGCACAGCGCCTGTCTTCAACCTGCCTGAGACGCATAATACAATACTTCGGCCACGTTGCTCGACGAGATACCGATAACCTGGAACGCTTGATGGTTATGGGGAAAATAGAGGGGAAAAGACCCAGGGGCCGGAGTCCTAAACGTTGGTCGGACCAGGTCTCGGAGGTACTTGAGATCCCGGTCAGTGCTGCACTCCACCAAGCAGCTGAGCGAAACCGATGGAGACGGATGGTTGACACGGAGAGACGAGATGACACGGAGTCACGATCCTCAGCAGTGAGGAAACGACAACCTGCCCTGCCCTTTAAATTATTATTTTAATGTAATTCATAATTTTTTTATTTAATAATGCATATTAAAAAAAGGCCTACGTAACTGTCATATTCGATAAATAATAATGTTAACTCACCTGATTGTACAATGAGCAGCAGTTAACACCCATCTATTGCTGATTATGGATCCTCCACAAAAGTGAGAGTTGAATAAGGACCTCAAGGAAGCCTGATACGGTATAGCCCCATCAGGGGCGTCCTCACCGCCCACGATACGACCCTCATGCAAACGGATATCAAAAGTGGTCAGTAATGATCCTGTAAGCAATAACTCTGTTAGTTTATAAACACTAACCTATTATTTAGCCTTCGCTATGGGTGAAATTGAATCGGAAAAATACGGCCATTGGATTGGTGTTACAACTGCAAATGGAGCCGGGATCAACGGTTTGTAACGGTGCGTCGTTCCACCGACTGTTTAATTTGTCCTAGGTTTCCGCATGCAAATTTTTTGTCTTTGATTTCCAACATCATTTATTTTATAATTCACCTTTAGTAATTTGAAATTTTGTGTAATCCCATAGGCTCTTTGAAAAATGTAAACCCAAACCCGGAATAATATAGAAGTCTTTTTTTCTTGTATTGAACTCGGGACCTCGGGATAGTTGGCGACACCTTAAAACTGTCCTCCACAGGATAATAAATAAGTACAGTAATAAGTAAAATAATATGGCACAATAATTAAGTTTCAGTAACGCAGAACAGACTAAACAATTTCGACGATAACTGTAAGAACGCTTAAAATTTAAAGTGAGTCTTGTTTCAATAACCATAAGATGTAAAACGCAACGCATTAGGTGTCCACATTTACACTCAGCGGGGGTCAGGCGCGTGGGTTTTGGTGAATCGTCTGATGGTGCGCTACTTAAATCATCCGTATTTTTCAACATTTGCTGCGTTTCGAAAATTTTCTGCTCAGATGAACTATATGAGTTGTATCTTATCTATACAAATAAATAAAATTTAAATAACAACTTTTTACTAAATACATATACACGCTACATACCTATACCTATACAACAATAACTATTTACATTCTTTTTCTATCTGTTTGTTCCGGCTAATCTTTGAAAGGGCTGGACCGATTTTGACGGGACTTTAAGGATAAGTATTATAGATAGCTTTAGTAATAATTAAAAGAACGTAGGTTACTTCCAACACAGTTAGTCTTATATAAATGTACATAGTTACTCAATAATAAACACTCACCATAACAAGCCACACAAAGGGAAGCGAACACAATAGTTCCAATCATCTCTAATAGGTACTCGTTCACTTAATTAACGTACCCAACCAAGAATAAATATAGTGAGACCTAAAATTATATCTCTTATATAATTATAGTAACAAGCAACAGCTTAGTGAGATTATCTTGTTTGTAAATAACGATAAAATTGTTCACTCAATGGCTTTGAGTTTAAGGACCTCTGTCATAAAGACTTAAGGAGCATCCATACTTATGTAATTCCTGTGAATATGGATATATCTTTAAAATGTTCACTTCATAGTCGAGCGATTTGTATGTATGTTACAGTCAAAGTTCGAAATCTAACGATATATTTGATAATACCTTTAACTATCACTGTTGTCAGTTTTAACGTAAGCGACATTTGTTTAAGAATTTGAAGTAATTATTCAAAACTTAACATATACACCAATAGATAAAATCGCTTGTACAGCATTTAGTGAAATTTTCAAAATTATTATGACTTTATGAAATATTTTATAAAACCTTCTCTTGTAAAATACACAAAATGGCGGTTACGATGTTCTTTAAAAAATCACCAGGTCGAGGTGCCCGAGATGAGACTCGAAATCATAACTTTCGCTAATTGAGCCACTGTTTGAATTCGTAAGGAATTGAAATTATATGAAAACCTAATCATTTAATAATGCATAATATGTTTTAACTATCATATGCATTATTGCCTTACCTTATCAGGTACTCGTAGGTTCTTACAATGTTAACAGCTTCTCCGGGGGTTTTAATTCTAATTTCTATGTACCTAGTGGAAGATATCTCAAGATACATATTTTTAGCTCTCCAATCATAGAACAAATAAACACTTCAATTTTAAATGCTTTAATAGTTTATATAATTGACTTCGCACTTCAACTAGACTTACATATATAAAGATTACGTTTGTAATATAATCTGGGGTTTTATTAAGAGAATGCAAAAAACCTTTTACTGCACCCGGCAATTAGGGATATAATTAGTGTAAATAAAAAATACTATTCTGTGACGGGAATGAGATAAATAGGAGAGGGGATAGTGATTTTTTAAATTATTAACTCGTAAACTATTACTAATGTTGTAAAACTGCTGCAAAAAGTTCTAGGCTATTAAATGACTCCCATAAATAATGAACATTATCTTTCATGACAAGGGTAGATAAATGGAAAAATATGTGAATTTCAGAGGTAACTTTGTTTATAAAATTTCCTTGATAAAAAGTATTTTATCAAGAAAATTCATATTTAGACAGTGACAACTTTAAATTTAATTTGTGTTTGGTTAATTTAGCATTCACAAACAAAATTGATCAATATTTTAATGTAAATACTTGAATAATGAACCGGCCCCAGGTTCCGGCTGTTTGGGTGGATTGCCTGTACATTGATGAAAATATAATCACTAATTGCGAAAAAGCAACTAGTGCTTGAAATATTCGTCAGTCCTCTTGGGTCTCAGGTAGCTCCATGGTTAGAGCGGTTGCCTGGAGTGGTGGATTATTTAAACATTAAAAATGAATTTGAGTCTTCGAATGTAATCAATACGTAGTAATAGGTTGGGGAAAAAGTTTCTTCGCATTTTAATTTGAAAATTAAAAATTTTAAATATCATTTCTTAATAAAGTTTATTTACATTTAACTAAAGTATGTAGGTACCATTTTGTTCGATAACTTTTTGCCATCTTGTAGGTAGGGACACAATCTCATTGATTTTTTTGTACAATACAGAACCACGCGGACGAAATCGCTGTAGGAAAGCTAGTTTAAATATATTTGACGAAATATGTAAAAATTTGATTGGATTTAAATTGGATCCCTATGAATCCAAGGTCCTTCTAGATAATTATAGGATTCACTGGTCTAGTAAACTCAAGAAATATTGGAAAATTTTTGGTAAATAAAGTTATTATTATTTATTACTATTAAAAAAAAATCACAGAATATATATTCAGAGTTCCAACCTTTTTGTTTTGTGTAATTTTTTACCAACTTTAATAAACGTTGACACTCCTCAGAAGAATAATTACGTTCATAATTCTTATTTTCAAATGAAAATGTCCCTCGCCCACGCATAGATTTTCTAAAGTTTATTTAAAATTGTTGTTTTTATGTTTCAGGTGGAAAATTAAAAGCTAAATTAGTTATTTCAAATCTAGAATAATTATATAGTATTTTATTATAAGCCATAACTACAGAATTCAAGTTGCTTATAGCTGTGAAGTTATTTTATTTCAATCCGAATCTTAGTGTTTCATAAAGTTCTTCTTTCTTATTGAATTATTAATATACATTTTCTTATATTCCCCGACCTATTAATCGTAATTTATTAGGCTAACAGGTTTATCAGACCTCTTAAATAACACAAGGTTACACTTTATCTCAGGTTAAACACATCTAACATTCAAATATCTATAAAGTTTGAGATTGAATACTCCTTCAATCTAGTCTCGATCGTAAAATTCTTTACTGCGAATAGAGTGTATTAACTTTAAAATCTCGTAAAATTCTTATATTTACATTTTAAATTAAATAAAGCTTTTTATGTTATTATAAAGTATTTTTTTTAATAATAACAATTTATTGTAAACTTTAATATTTTCTACATGTTTCGGATATTTTCAGTTTCTGTGGTAAAAAAACTATTTTTTCAACTTTTACTTTTAATTACTTTGTTTTAAATTAAATCTCGATCGCGCAATGATAAACGCGTCGGGTGTGTAATACGGTTGTTAAGTAACTTTTCCAATGGCCGATCGTAGGATTGGTGACCAAAACTTGAGTATCTCGAGCTCGTCCCTGCTTTGGGATGCACTTTAAGTCGTTGGTCTTAGCTGAAAAGCAGTCGCTTATACCAACCAATCCGCACTTGGTGGATCATGGCCCGTTCTCTCTATTCCGTTCCACTTCGATATCATAGAGAAGGCCTGAGCCCCAGCAGTGGGGACGTTAATAGACTGGTGATAATGATGATGGACTTAAATTTTATTCGAGGCAAGTGTGCATGGTAATTTTGATAAGATTTTTCACCCCTGATTTTAGTGCTTGGGCAATTGCTCAGATCGGGATCTTATTTACATAAACCAGGGTTTCCCAAACTTATTGTATGTGCTGCCCACATTGAGAATAAATTATTATTATGCGCCTCCATATTTTTTTACTTTCTTAAAAACCACTATAACTTGAAATTAAATTAATTATTGTGAGTTATGTTAGTGGAGATTAAACATTCATTCTAAACGAGACCTTTACTATAATCCGTAAGAGTTAACTTGAGACCTGAGTGCAGTAGGGGTACACAATGGCGTTCAGGTCTCAAGTTAACTATTACGGGCTACACCTGCCAATGAGAATGATTGAAACACAACTTCGTAGTATTCAGACAGAGTATCTTTTACTCAAAACAAGTTGTAGTCGAGAGCTCAGTCGATGTCGAAAAGTCCTTCTAGATGAAACTGCAAAGCGCCTCTTAAGCCTCTACATAACGCTTCCATTTTCTTCTGAGTCCCTTACTGCCCCTTTTATGCCTGCAGCACCCACATGGGGGCTTTATCACCTGCTTTGGAATAGGCTGAACTGAGCGATTTGAGACCGTTTAAGCGCGTTTACTTAGCAAGTGCAATTGAAGCAATTGTTTAATGGCTGTTGTTTTCGCGCAATAGACTTTTGTAATTATAACTCATTGAAGTACTATAAATCAGCACACTTACTGCCTGTCAAAACTGATAAGCTATAGATAAATTCTCGATATTATGTCTACCCGCAAACGGACCTCGATTTGCGGTTTCAGAACGGCGATCTCACTAATGGTTTGTAAATGCGTACATATGCTAGCTCATCAAAGTATAGTACCAAATAAATCGAACTACGAATGTCGTCTAACCCGACGAATCGCTTTTCATAGTAGATTTAATCCCAGGTTTATTAGGTATTATATTGCAACGGGTTCTGAAACAAATTTTAGTTCTACTGTTGCAATTCCATAACGAAACAGGTGACTTGTTAACTATAAAAGACAACATAACTGTGGGTATTTTTTTTATTATGTACTGGTGGGGCGATTAGCTTAATCCTTGGGTGACGGTTTTTTACCGTGAGTTCAAATTCCTAACGGCGCGCACCTAATTTTTGATTGAGCTTGGTGAATTGTTCGTTATTGAGAATAAGGAAATTTCGGAAGAACGGTGGATCAGTGCCTATGGACTAAGGACCGTGTATGATATCTTCGCTGGCAACCGCATCGACATACCCCTTTCCAGAACCTATCCCTCAGAACCCGTGATTATAACTTATGACTCGGTAAGATTCTAATATCGAATCAAACATCATTATTTGTCGTCAAGTGATCGGATTAAGCAAGAAGCTTTATTTAGTGCTGGTAGCGGCTACCGGTCAATCTAGTGCAATTCATTTGTTTCTCAATATACAAAACTCAATGTTTCTGATACCATTTTCAACGTGTATGTGAGTGCTTGTGTTTCATGCATTTTCTTCGGCTTTTATTTATTCAATAGACACTGGCACGCTGCGGTCTATTCTAATAACTAAGCATCTATATATATACTAGATAGGAACGGTTTCTTTTAACGTACTTAAATGATGAGAGTTAGAAAAATGCTTCTGTTACTAAATTATTAAAATAAATATGTTATTAGGTACAACTTATTTAGTACAGCTAATGTAGGCCAAAATGTGTGTTATAATGACGAAAAGAAATGCTAATATGATATAATTTTAGTTAACTATTAATTAGTATAACCAAGATCCAGTTTACACAGACTTGATTGTGGAAGTGCACCGCGTCGTGTTTTGTGGCTGTTATTAGCTGCAATGCGCCACGCTGTGTTTTGTACTGGCTACAAGTGTGCGGTTGGACTTAAGTCCTTCACTTCAAGAGTACACATAAGCCAGTGATATAATTTTATACAGATTTTCGCACTGAAACCTAAATATGTTTTATCCCGTTATCATTTCGACCGAGAGAGTATTTAATAAAAGTTATCTGTTTATCAGCTATACGCATATTCGTAGTGGTGGATGTATATTGTACACTTATTGAACCTTTGTTTGCTATTCCTTAGCTCACTTATTTTGCTAAAAGCTTTTAATGCATCATAATAAGATTTAGATAAGAACGTTCAGCGTATGCATATTTTAGTATCTTTCTCTGTATATAGTCGTAAACAACTTACGTAAGTAATATACCAAAGTTAATTACCTTAATATTAAATAGGTTGCTTGAAAACATTGGACTTAATAAATAAATAAAAGATACATATAAGATGAATAATTAGGGAACAGGTCCGATTTTATTAAATAAAAAAAATATATATTTTAATTTTGCGATAGTAAAATCCAGCAAGAACAAAACATTTTA